TATCTTTATATATATCTTTATATTCGGCTCTGAGACAGCCATCTACACGCTAGCTACGGAGTTACCTGTGTCGCTTGTCGTGACGTCGTTACGGGGCCGACGTGCGACACCACGCTGCGTGCCGTACTCATCATCGTCATCGTCGTCCTCGCCACGTTGTACGCGGTTCCCGTCGCCGCTCGGCCCGACGTCGTCTGCGCGATAGAGCCCTGCTCGGTGGCGCCACCTGGTGAGCTGAAGACGACCGGTACGATGTAGGCCATCTTGGCAGCGGTCGTGGCGCGCGTGGCGGCGTGGGTCGGCACTAGCCGCACATCGCTGCTGCCGACGCCGCCGCCAGCAGCCGTCGCCTCAGCGATGACGTCCACCGGCACTAGCAGACGCGTTTCGTACGTCGTCGTCGTCGTCGGCGGCGGCGGCACTGCGATCGTCTGCGTCACGACGACGCGCGGCTTCCGTTTCCTGCGCAGGATGATGGGACGGGTTTTCTCGGTCGGCGGCGAGGCGTCGGCGGCGACGTGGAACGGCGACGGCGTCGGCCACGGCTGCGGCTGCGGAGGGAGAGAGTTAACGACGAGTATAGACGGCGCCCCGCCGCTCGCGTTTGCTATCTCGATCAGGGTCAGAACCCCCTCCTCGCGGCGCCCCCTGCCGGCCGCGCCCGCGTCGCTGCTGCCGCCACCTTGCGGCGACTTCCTTCTCGCTTGCCTACGTCGGCGCGAGCCCTGTAGCAGCGTCTCAACGGCGGGCAGGCACGTTAGGCACTGCGAGCCGCTAGAGAGCGCCACCAGCTCGATGCCGAAGCGTCGCCGCCTCGCCGCGTACGTCGGCTGCGGCGACGGCGGACTGACGCTGCAGCGACGGCCCGCGTCGTTGGTCGACGACGGTTCGTCGTGGATGCCCCCAACGACGTCGGCCGCAGCGAAGGTGGCGCCGGCGCCGACGCCGCGAGATGGATAATTCCATTCCATCGGATGGAAGCTGACCGCTGGTTGACCCAGTGACATCACGTCGCTGACGCGCGGTTGCCACGGCGACGTGGCGACGCCTCCGCAGTCCGGCTGCGTCGACGCGCACTCATCCGACCAGCAGGTGGCGCCCTCTCCCGACTGCGACGGCGGGTAGGTGTCGTCGTACAGCGGCTGCTGGAGCGGCGCACCGACGTCGGTGCTGACGTCCGCGTCGTCGTCGTCGTCGCCGCCGTCGTCGCCGACGTCGTCGCACGGTCGCCTGTCGTCGTCGCGCAGCGGGTCGTAGCAGCCGCGACTCGCGCTGTGTCGCAGGATCCTCTCACAGAGGGCGTCCTCGTCGTGCCGAACCGACTGGTCGTACATACCCGCCTCCAGTGACGTAGGCTGTGACGTGTACACTGACGTAGGCTGTGACGCATACAGCGACGCAGACGGCGGCGTAAATAGCGGAACGTTCGGTGGCGGCAGCAACGGGGCGTCACTGTAGTCGGCGCTACCGACGATGCTGACGCATGGCGGCTGCTGCATGGACCACGTCTCCTTGCATGCGCCGTAGTTGATGTAGGCAGCGGCGTACTGCTGCTGCTGTAGCTGCTGCTGCTGCTGCTGTAACTGCTGCTGCTGCGGTTCCTGCTGATGGTGGTGGTGCTGGTGTTGCTGGGGGTGCTGATGGTGTTGTTGCTGCTGCTGCTGTAACTGCTGCTGCTGCGGTTCCTGCTGATGGTGGTGGTGCTGGTGTTGCTGGGGGTGCTGATGGTGTTGTTGCTGCTGCTGCTGTAACTGCTGCTGCTGCGGTTCCTGCTGATGGTGGTGGTGCTGGTGTTGCTGGGGGTGCTGATGGTGTTGTTGCTGCTGCTGCTGTTGCTGATGGTGCTGCTCGTAGTGGTGCTGGTGGTGCTGGTGGTGCTGATGGTGTTGCTGCTGCTGCTGCTGTTGCTTCGGC